GTAAAACTATTAATGACATTGTCTCCAACTTATGAAAATAGCAATTAGATACTATTTTCCTATTTCTTTTTTCTACTTGTTACTAAACAGAGAAAAATTTCCTTTAAACTTATGGGTAATATATTCATTGACAGATATAAACACACATACATATTGAAGTGTACACCTGCATCGGTTATTGTAAATACTTGTGTATTGGTATGTAAATACATTCATTGACAAACTGTATTTGTTTACACTATTCACTTCTACAATGAAATGTAAACGTTGTGTTAAGTTGAATATGTTGGTGATGATGATGATGATGATGATGACGATGTTCACTGTAGTTTATTTCACTTCTTTACTACTTAATTGATTATGTGACATTTAGTTAACGGAATAGTTTGATACATTTTTATAATTATTGTGTGGCTGCAAGAAATCCAAATGAAGTTGGGTAGGGAAAGTTTGTTTACATTATATGTATATATTTCTGTACCTAGTCACAATATCCTTCACTTTATCACTTTGACTAAAATGAAAGACAATGAATGTGATTTTACATGACGAACATTATTCTCTCAAATAGTTACAGTGTTTTTTTAATAGATAAACTACTGATTTTCATAGTTTACACTACACATTAGTTTAATAACCATTAAAATCCATGGAACATGGAATAGCTATTTTTAGAAGTTATCAAGTGCTTCCTTGATTTTCAATGGTTGTTTAACACTATTCAGCAATTATCTGTAGTCATAAAATATGGATTACTAAAGCATCAAATGATCTTTATTGTATCCTTGTACAATGTTCCCAGAGTTATAAAAATAACAGTAGGTTAAGCGTTCGCGCGCAAGACTGAAGGCACTGGGTTCGAATCCCGCGAGCGGGATCGTGGATGCGCACTGCTGAGGAGTCCCATACTAGGACGAAACGGCCTTCCAGTGCTTCCAGGTTTCCAACGGTGGTCTAACATCAGTCGATTCATGATCTCAGTCAAAAACTTAATAATCTACACAACCCCAATACTGATAATTATATAATAATACTTTTCATCATTGATATGGATGGATGGTTATCATACTAAATATTGTAAACTGATTGAAGTTGAAAGTATATCATTGAATTCCAACCAAGTCATTCTAATGATTGTGTTTACTGTGAAACCTAAAGCTCTTGGATTTGACCTCTGGCGAGATCATGAATACATATTGCTAGTGAGTCCTATACTAAAATGAAATAGATGAGCACCGCTTCCCTGATTTTCAATGATTCTCCAACTAAGACCAATCAATAACGGATATAATGTATAGATTAAGGTAATTTATTAGTAAACTATTTTCCTTTTGCAACTATCTAACTTACTTACTTACGCCTGTTACTCTCAATGGAGAATAGGCCACCGACCAGCATTCTCCAACCTACTCTGTCATGGGCCTTCCTTTACAGTTCTGTCCAATTTTTGTTCATTTTATTCATGTCTGTCTCCATTTCTTGTCTTAATGTGTTCTTTAATCTTCCTCTCCTCCTTTGACCTTGAGGATTCCATGTGAAGGTTTGTCTTGTGATGCAGTTTGTTGCTTTCCTCAATGTGTGTTCTATCCACTTCCAGCGGTTTTTCCTGATTACTTCCTCCGCTGGTATCTGGTTTGTTTTGTCTAACTTACATCATGAATATATTTCAGTTAATTTTAATTTATTTATTAGGTGGTAAATTTGATAGTTTATCACTAATTAGTCATGGTTTTGTTTATGACTACACTATGTGTGTGTGTGCGTGCGTGTGTGTATTCGTGTGTAAGTTTGTGCAAATTCTAACTGGGATTAGAGAAAATACACGCAAATGATAATGATGCATAACTCTTTTCTAGTTCAACCAGTTTTTTCTTTACTTCACAAATTCGTTAGATATTTATTAATTTTATGATAACAAATTTATGAACTAAATTGATTTTTATTAGTGTAGGGTTGTGTGGAGATTGTAGAATTTTGATAGTTTAAATCACAAACTGTTGTTAGTTGAATATTATTGTTCGATTTCACTTTTACCTAAATATCTTAGCGTGGATTTGATTAACTTGATATAGATCATGGTCTCTTATCCTCATCAGGATCAACAGAACCATATGTAATCCATATTGAAACTTGTCACTGATGAAAAGAGTATTGTTATTATTTACTAGTATGAAGTAGTCTCTAACTATGATGAAATACAAGTGTCATTGTCTCCTGATTTCGATAACAGGTTATAGTGAAAAAATTTACTTTCGAATAAGAAAAAATCAGTTGTTAGTCTAAAGGTTGGTTGCTCATGCACGAAACTGAAGATCCTTAGTTCGAGTCCCACATGCGAGGTCGTGGATACACACTGCTGAAAAATCTTAGACTAGAGAGAAACAGTTGTCTAATGCTTTCTGTGAAAATATGAATCACTCGGTTGAAACGCGATAGTTAAAAAGCATTGTGCTAATAATCAAGTTGATAATTATTTAGTTCAAAGATAGTTTATCAAAAACTGATTGGGTTTAGTTGCATAATCAGTGTAGATCATTAATCAATAATATAATCGTTTTAATTTGATTTATAATTTATTAACTATCATTTAGTACCAATTGTGATATTCAACTCAATCCATACTGGACTAGATTCAGTTGATTACAGATACTCATCGGGAATTTAAAAGTTGTTTTTAAAACAAGTTGATCATCAGTGTACATATAAACTGATCGATTTTCAAAAGAAAAATAATGTCAAATAATTTACATAGTTAAAAGTGCTCAACTCTGATTACCCAAACAGACAGTTTTATTAATATTAAGCGTTAAAAATGATGAACAAAGGTCCTATTTCGTTAAGAAGTTAAATATGTTGTTTAAAGGCATGGTGCTATTCTAAACAAACGGCCTACAGTAATGTTTTTTTTAATGACATAGGCTAAGAGGATGGATACATTGCGTTTCATTTTCAAGGTGTCCGGAAAATGTAAACCGTGTTAAAAGACCTAATCATAGAGCGATAATTCAAATTAAGAAGACTGGAAAGTTGATCACTTTTGGTTATTGATAAACTGACTAGAACTTCGGTTGTAAAATATATGGACTATTGGATTCTAATTCAATGATCTTAAGGTAAAATGCTAGTTACGAAGCATGGTGGTTTTAGAGCCAACTTATCACGGTTTTGCAACTATTCACTGCTGATGAGTTTCATAGCACGTATGAAATAGCTATTTATTATTTCCCGATTTCCAATAGTTCATTAAGTGATGGCAAAAATTGCAACTGACCTTTAAATTTGTGAAAACGACTCAATCTACTAATGAGTAGCTTGAAATTAATAATGAAAAATAAGACAATTATCGCCCTAAATTCATGGGGTATTTAATCGAGTAAGGTTTCCAAGATATTTGCCTATATGCTTTTTCGATAACAATAAAATCTAAACTTCTGATACAAATCTTGAAAGAGGAGAAAATTATGGCACCCAGTAACATCAACGAATATCAAAATTCTTTGGTATTGTTTACTTGAAACTTTCTATTGATGTTTAGGACTGAAATTGATCAATGTCTTATTGGCATATGTGCATACTGTGAGGATTGTCTTGATATTATCTTAATTCGCAAGCATTATATACAAAGATGGATAGTGGCTAGCAGAGGAACCCAGAACGCACGTTTCGTCCTATTTGAGAATCGTCAGATGGATATACCTGCATCTCAAAGATGATGTTCACCACACGACTCGAACCCAGTACCGTTCACTTCAAACGTCATCGATTTGTCCAATTAGCTATTGAGTCCTAATAGACACTTACTTGTTCGAGTTCCAGAGTGAACATCAACTCTGAGATGAGATGCAGGTACATCCAACTGACGAGTTCCAAAGAGAACGAAACACTCGTCTTGGATTCCACTACTAGCCACTATCCATCTCTGCTTATTAATAAATATCATCATAAACAAATTTCTTATTAATTCACATATTATCTAATACTTAAATACCCAAAATAAGCTCAATCTAAAAGTTTGAGAATCCATTCATTTTTAATTTTTCCAAATATCTTCAGAAATGTTAAATGTTTAAATTGTAAATGAATGTCTATAATAATTGTGATAGGATTTGCCATAATTGTTTCAAAACTAATAATAAACATATTCTTGTGTATTTGTAAAGATCTATCTGCTAAATTTATAATTGATTGATCACTAGGTAGTGATCAATGTCATGTATGTATAAGTCCTCCTTAGTATAGATCGAATCCTATCAACCAAGTTGTTATAATGACTATCTTCAATCACCATCTAATCTACTAAATTTGATGGTATGATTCATGTATGTATAATTTGAATCCAGTGTTGTCTATATTATCATTGTGAAGTTTCATCATTTTAATTCATCAAATAACATCATACCATTTGAAGAATAACTGTAGATTTTAAATCTAAACTATATACGTCCAGTTATGACTAACTAAATATCAAATAGTAATTCATTTCATATTGTCTGATCGTTATGACAAAAAGTTCAGTATTAACATATTTACCTCTAAACTTAAGTCAATTGATTTGAACTATCCTATATCAAAACAAAGTATATACAGAGTCTAGCTATTTAAAATGCTTATTGATAAATCCATGATAAATATTTTATTTCAATTGGAGATCAGTCGCGTTCGATTCATTTCAATGGGATCATGTCCCTTTGACTGTGATAAAGGTTCAGCTGACATTTTCTATAAGATTGCATATATATAAATATTTCTAACGAGTGGGAACTAGCTTACAACTATCAAGGATATGTTAAGTCACTCACTGGATTGTTTCTTTGGTTGTTAAAATTTAATTTCCCACATGATTTTATACCTATGCAACTTTCTTTAATCATCCTAGAGAGAAAATGATGAATTAGATATTGAAACAAGTTTATAGTATCCATTAAAAATTATATATTCTAGTTAAACTGTTTTATCTCTCTTTCTCCCTTACACACAAACTCTTTTGTATTTTCTTGTAGAGAATCTATGGAAACATTACTAGCACAACAGGCTGTAACAGGTTCAATGGTTACTGGTATACCACATCTATTTAGTTTACAACCATCAACAACATCAACACAAATAGTTCATGGAAATGGGAATCATTCATGTAAACAAATGTCTAAAAAAGACTTTTTACATGATATTGATCAATATAAATCAATAAATAATGATTCTAATTTATGTAAAATATCAACTGGATCATTATTTACATCTAAAATAACACCACCACCACCACCACAACCACCACCACCAACAACTAAACCATCAATATTACCAATACCAACAATATCCAATATAATTACTTCATCAATACAACATACTTCTAAATCAATAACTTCACATTATACTAATCAAGGAACTCAATTAATTAATACAGTCAATAATGAACAAGATCATAAAAATCAATCATTTCAATCAAATTTAGATATAACTAAACAAAATATTCTTTCATCACAATATAATGATAAACAATTCATTGATTCAAATAAATTATTATTATGGCGCCAAAAATTTATTGAAAATACTTTTACAGCATATTTTAATCAAATTTTATCTGAATATAATAATAATAATAATCAATTAGATCATCAAAATATAGAATATTTGAAACCATCTATATCTAGATCAAATTCATTTTTAATACAACCATCTTCATCGTTACCATCCTCCTCCTCCTCCGCATCATCATCATCATCAAGTACATCATCACAATTATCATTATTCTTACATAATCTTTATCCATTAATCAATAATAAATTAAATAATGATATAAAACTAAACCAAGCACATTCTAATTTAAATGTTCCGCAAGATACTTTTAATGTATCAATAATCAATGAAGATAATAATAATAATAATAATAATAATAATAATAATGGAAATGATCAATATTCAATCAATAATCCATTAATTAATCAATTCACAAATGATTCTCCAATTTTATTACAATCGTATCAACAGTTTTTAAAAAGTGCTTTACATTTAAATGGATCATTATTTGATCCATTTAATAATTATAAGAAACAATGTAATTTGATAAAACCAATTGACGGTGACAATTGTACTGCTGTTATTAATAATAATAATAGTACTGATAATAATAATAATAATAATAATAATAATAATAATAATGGTAATGGTAACGGTAATGATATCGATAATAGTAATAGTAAAGAATTAATGTCACAATCAACATTATTGACAAGCGATTGGACAAAATGGACAAGTTTCAATTTATTAAATACATTAAATGAAATATGGAAATCACAATGGGCTACAATGAAATTAGACGAGTCTAATATAAATGAAAATAATCAAATTAATAAACAAGATATAAATGAATTCATTAAACATAATAATGATTGTATTACTTCTAATGATACCATGGATACTACTGATTATCAACAAATAAGTATAATAGAAAATTTAAAAAAATTTAAATTAATAAATTCGAATAATTGGATTCATAAAGATCATTCACCTATAAATAATAATCTATGTAATTCTAATGAAACAGAGGAAATCATTAAAACATTAACAGATTCAATAACATCTATTACGTAATTGATTGAAACGTTTGTTTTGTTTGTCTGTTTTTCTTCTTTAATTTTTATTTTTTCAGTTTAAATCTTAGTTCATTGTGCGAATGAACATTCTATGTATTCAAATGGATGAATTTGTATAAAACTTAACTATAATTTAGATTATTTTAAATCACACATACTACTATTATTACTACTACTACTATCATTACTACTATTACTACTACTACTACTACTACTACTATCATTACTACTACTACTACTACTATCATTACTACTATTACTACTACTACTACTACTACTATTACTATTACCATTACTATTATCACTGCTACTAGCACTACTACCATTACTACTATTACTACTACTACCACTATTACTATTACTACTACTATTACTACCAATCTAATTATGACTCTGATTATCAAGCATTTCACGAATGAAACAAATTTTCAAATTGTCTAACTTTTTCTTTATATACTATTAAAACTGTATTACATAATTGAACTAGCAGTTAGTTCAAATTATTCTTATTATCAAATTGAAATATTTAGAACTTGTCAATATTCATTTTAAATTAATCATTTGTAATTTACTTAGTTTTCAATTCTTTATAATTGGCTAGAAAGGAAACAATAATATGTATAATATATATATACAAATTATAATTACTATTTATAATTTCGATAGTTGGAATCATGAGTCAATTGAAGCTAGACCGCCATGGAAAAGCCGGAAGCACTGGACAGCAGTATTTTCTTATTGCGGGACTCCTCAGCAGTGCGATCCATGATCCCGCCCCTCGCGAGATTCAAATCCAGGACCTATCAGTCTCACACGCGAGCTCTTAACGTCTACACCACTGAGACGGTTGGCATACAACGGTGTTAATGTCTAACGTTAACCAATCCACGAAATTGTGCCATCGTACACCAGTGTTTTTAATGAGTTGATATCTCATAACAGATCTGGTTGAACTCCACTGGTCACGACTTCTCATTAGAACTCCTGGGAGTGCCTCTTGAAGTCAGTCACTAGTAAGGAGATGATTATTATCAGAACGGGTTTTATGGAGATTTTAGTAATTTTACTAGTTGAAATCATGAGTCAGTTGAAGTTACTATTTATGTGAATAATGAGTTTTTATTTGTTAAATATGAAAATAATTACCTATCTATCCGGCACTTTATGATTGCTGATAGTGTTTTGACAAAATGGGAGATTACAATGATTATCACCTATAAACTGAATAGAAAAATATACTTAATACTGTAGTGAAGGAGAATACAGATGAGGACAAGCGAATCACATTTAGCACAAATTTATAGAGTTACTTGATAGAATAGAAAAACCATACTCTAATACTTCATTTGCAAAATGTTCATTAGTTGTCTCAGACTTCCATATTCCTGCATTTGCATACCGATTGCTGTCTATTCCCGTTTTTCCATTCTTGATCTTCTCGATCTTCTGCTGCCAGACATTATATTATTGACTCGCGTTATATACTACTTATATCAATATAAGTAGCACACACCATGGTACTATTTTGTTGAACTATGATATTCATTAATTAATAATTGACAATCAAGTCAAATAATAGTACACTTACAATCACTCTTGTTTGAATAATTCTCAGAATGAGAATTTGTGGAGATTGTAGTAATTTTAATAGTTGAATTTATGAGTCGATCTAAGCTAGACCACCAGTGAAAACGTGGAAGCAGTGAATAGACGTTTCATCCTAGTATGGGACTTCTCAGAAGTGTAGGGTTGTGTATGTGCACTTCTGAGGAGTTCTATACTTGGAAGAGATGATTGTCTAATTCTTCCAAGTTTTCAATAATGATCTAGCTTAGATCGACTCATAAATTCAACTTTTAAGTAATTATGTTAAATGTAGTATAGAAGAAAGTAGATTTCCTTGTAAAATTGAAAAAAAAAACCTAATCCGATCTCCTTACATTACAAATAATTACTTATTTTATTTATCCTAGTTAGCGTTTTAGTTTTAGCAAGATTGTTTTCTACGAGATGAATTTGTTGATCTCATACCCAACTCTCCTCTTTTATCTGGGCTTGAGACCAGTAGTCTCCCTAAAAGATCTATAGACAGAGTTATGCAAATAATGGTTTGCATGTAAAACAACAAATAAACAGATAATGAACAAAAGTTACATTTTGGAGATTTGCTTATATAGGGAATAATTGGAAATTCTTTTTAAATGATTATAAGAGTTAAGTTTTACTACTAACTGATTGTAATATGATGAAATATTAGAGATTAAAGAGTGTTTGATAACTAGTTCAATCTACTTTAAGATTCCTTAGTATTGTGTACTTCAAATCCTTCACTAAAATAGAACTTGAATATTTAGTTTTTATAAAGAGTTCACTGTTATTCAATCAGTGAATTGGAATTTTGTTATAACTTATGGTCTGTATGCCCTGTTTATTGTGTAACGTAACGATACCACCAATTAGATAGTAGTGAACTATCGATCGGACCAATAATGCCTAAAACACGTGCGAGCAGTTTAGAGTCCTGATTCGTCCTGCTTTCTGTCTAGCTCAGCCAGTTGAGTCCAAAACACCAATCTCAGACTCTGTAATATGAATCATGTATTTCAAACAAACTCGGTTTATATGTCAATCAGACAGACCACATCGTACTGTAAAATATGAAACTACATTTACACAAGATTTAACCAAATGTGGCTATAAGTAAGGGAGATAGTAATTGATAGACAGTGCATCATTCAAGAATGATAAATCGTATAATAATAGTTCATAGGTCAAAATAAAGCTTATAATAAGAGGGAAATGAATATGAATAGTTTAATTATTCAACTATTATAACATAAAAATGTATGTATAATATTGATTCATGCATGGATCACAAAAGTTACCATTCATTATGTTTATCGGGACATAATAAGTTTATAGATCATTATTTCTAATTTCAATTATCTCTTAATAGATTTCTAATTTTATTCGATATCAATGAGTAATACCGTCGCCAATTGTTATGTTTGCTCTCCATCATCATTAGAATGATGATGATCATCATCGTCAGTCAGTCAGTCAGTCAGCTGCAACGTAGGACCAGGCACGTATATGCATCGGTCCAAGTTGCCATACCGCATTAGCACAACAAGATGAACACCGGATTCATAGAAGTAGTTAATTCAGTGGTGGTAATATATAAAAGAAAGATTGCATAGAAGGAGATAGTACAGGAAGAAAGAATTAGTTCGTAGAAAGAAAGAAATGAAGCGATTTTAATCTCTTAGTTTAAAGCAAGACAGAGAGTGTATACACCGACGCCATTGTGATCGATTCTAAGCCATGTCACCAAGAGTCTCCAACCATTGGTTACGATAGTCACGCGGACCCCAACCAAATAGTCTGCATCTACTAACATGGCTCAGACCAGAAGTTAGTGACTTCAAGCACTGATGCCACGTTTTGGTTTGGCCGCCCCTAACTTTCTTCCAATTATCCCCAACACCGGTTAGCGTTGCACGTCGTGGTAATCGGTGTTCAGGCATACTCAACACGTGGCCCAACCATCTCAGTCGATGAAGATTCATAACCTCATCAACTGATTTACCATCATTCCCTAATACCCTGCGTCTAACCTCACTATTACTTACCTGGTGATCCCAGCAGATGCGAGGAATATTTCTATGGCACCTGTGGTCAAATACTAGTAACTTACGAGTATCTTCTACTCTTAAAGGCCATGTTTCACAGCCGTATAGTAGAACGGAGCGAACTGCCGCGCAGTATATTCGTCCCTTAATTGATAGACGGATACCTCGCCTTCGCCATAGATGACGTAAGTTGGCAAAGGTTAAACGAGCTTTTCGAATCCGTGCTGAGATTTCGTCGGGCACCAACCCATTAGGGTTTATCAGACTTCCAAGATAAGTGAAGTTGTCAACGCGTTCGACTACTTCACTCTCTATCCTTAGTTCAGGTGTTGACTCAAGCCAGTCCTGAAACAAAAACTTGCATTTAGAAGGGAAGAAACGGATCCCAAACATCCTGGCATTGTTGTTCAGTGCTACCAAAGGACTCTGTATTTTATCGGCGTCTTCAACAAACAGGACTATGTCATCTGCGTATTCCAAGTCGATAAGTGAACCTCCTGGTAGAAGATCAATACCCGAGAATTCAGTCGATGACAGCGTTATTTCCATCAGTAGATCTATGATGAAGTTAAACAAAAATGGAGAAAGTGGACAGCCTTGACGGACACCACTTGAGGTTGCAAAAGCGGATGACAGTACGCCATAAGCTCTGACTCGACTAGTAGTGTTCGAATAAAGAGCCTTCACAAGGTTTATGTACTTCTGAGGTACAACTTTCAATGACAGACACTGCCACAGAACCTCTCGGTCAACGGAGTCAAACGCTACTTTTAAGTCTAGGAAGACCACCATTGTCGGACGCCGATAAGTATGCCTGTGTTCTAGAACCTGACGAATGGTGAATATGTGGTCGAAGCAGCCACGATTAGGTCTGAAGCCAGCCTGATTTTCACGTGTTTGCAATTCACGAGTCTTAGTTAGGCGTCCGATAATTATCGAGGCTAGTATTTTAGATACTATATTAGTCAAACTAATCCCTCTATGGTTGTCACAGGATGATTTTGACCCTTTCTTAAATATTGGGACGATAAGTGATTGTGACCAGTTAGTTGGGATGACGTCTAACTCCCAGATTTTAGCTAAAATATTAGTCAACCTAGTCTCTAAAATTGGACCACCATCCTTAAAGACCTCTGGGGCCAATCCATCTGGACCAGCTGCCCTTCCTCGTTTCAGATTAACTATAGCCTTTTGAACTTCAGCTAGAGTTGGGGGACCTACTTCAATGTTCCATTCATACTGTCTGGGAATAGAGGGTAGTTGTAGAGTAGCTGAAGGCCAGCTCAACTGCTCCTTAAAATGTTCAGCCCATCGTTCTAAACGTCTGGACTGGGAGCAGATGAGAGTGTCGTCTTCTTCTGAAATA